GTCATTTACCAACCCTGAAACCCTTATTTCTCCCTTTTGGATAAACCCTAACAATTCAGCAGGTGAGCCTGCCAGAGACGGGGACAGGGAGTGTCCCTCTGCCTCACAGTGGACACTGTCACCACCTCAGACATTAGCTGCCTCCTGGTTCATTTTTTGTAAAGATGGCACTGTTAGCATTTGGCATTGTTTAAATTAATCCTTTGGAGGAAGAATTAGGTGCCTCGTGCAAAGTCCAGACTGAGCGAAAAGTCCCTGCAGGGCGAGGGGAGTGTGTGTGTCCGAGTGTGCCCTTGCCTCAGAAATAGTGAGAGGCTGCGTGCAGGTCTGTTTCCGGTGAGGCCCCACAGCAGTCGTCACTGCTGTGCCCCTCAGCTGTCACTGTGACAGACACCAGGGGCAGGTCGGCTTCTGGGGAGGAAAGGTTTGTGGCGGTGCATCTGCAGAGGGTCTCAGTTCCAGCCTGTTCGCTGCTTTGGTGGCGGTGGCTGGGACTCGGAGAGAGGCAGAGAGCCAAGGACCAGGGTCCCCTTCAAGGTCACACTCTCGGTAACCACACTTCCTTCGCTGGGCCAGACACCGCCTTCTGTGTCCCCGCATGGTCTTCCCTGCACTGGCTCTTGGTGTCCCTCTGGAGGACACCACCGGCCCTCAGACCTCACTCAGCCCAGATCGACGCTTTCAAGGCTCTGTCTACCAGTTCTGTTGTGTTGGGACGGGGCTTCCGAGTGGGACCTGGGGGACATGGCTCAGTGATGACCAGTGGGGACACCCCTGCCGCTGGCCCCAGGGTCACAGGTGGGAACTGGTGCCAAGGTCCACCATCAGGGAGACCCTAGCAAAAGAACCGGAGCAGGCATGGTCTGTGTCAGCTCAGCCCCACAGGAGTGAGCTGGTGACACAGGGACAGAAGTGGCTTGTTGAGAGGAGGTTGGGAAACGCAAATCTGCCCAAATCCAGGGAGACCACAGAGCTGGGGCTGCCCAAGGCCTGGAGGACAGGAAGTGAGGTGGCCCACAGTGACTGTGGATGGCACTGCTGTGCCTGACTTGGCAGGGTGCACGGCTCCTTGGGTCTGCAGGACTGGTTTTCCGCCCTCCTCAGTTGGAAGTAGGTGCTGTTCCTGGGTCCCCCGACCCTGACGCCTCTGAGGGGCGTCCAGCAGGGTGTGGTGCCCACTCAGGGACCCCTCCCAGACAGAGGTGACTCCAGCTGCACATCAGAGGAGATCTAAATCTAAATGTGCTGAGCACATGGGACACCATGCTCCGAGGCTGGGGTGCCCCTTCCCTCGGCCTGATCCCTCAGAAAGAGGCTGGGATTTGGGGCCCCTGACATCGAGCAACACGTGCCCCATCTGACACACGGAGCCCACCCCCCCACACACACCCTGCCCTTCCCACCCCACTCTGCACCCCCCCCCAGTCTGACCTCCCCCCCCACCTGTGCCTGATTTCTCTGCACAGGTGTGGGCACACTTGCGAATGGGCTCCTTTGCGGACCTTTGGGGCTCAGCCCTGCCATCCTCCCTGGGACAAACCCTCCTCACCCTTGCATGAGCAGTGCCTTCCTGCTCTCCGTGAGGGTGGTGCCCAGGGCCCACAGTAGATGCCTGTCCTGGCCCCTCTTGAGAAGCGCCAGAGTTTGGCTGTTGCTCTGCTCAGAGGGTCCCGGGCGGCCTGAGCAGCAGCAGCAATGAGGAGTGACAGGGAGGCTGCTGGCACCACCTGGGCCAGTCTGGGCCTTGGCAGACTAGGGGGATACACCCCCCAATGTACACACATGCACACACTTACCCAGACCCCCCTCCCCGGCTTTAGTGCTCATTTATAGTCATGTACACATACAAATCCACACTCTTACATATTCTGATTCACGCTCACACACACACACACTTGCACACTCATTCATGAGTGCTCACACTCTCATTCTCCCCCTCAGACACATACACTTCCTCACACACATTCCTTCACACTCAAACCCATTCACCTGTGCATATGCACACTCATTCAGGACACACGCACACACAGTCTGCTCTCAGAGCCCCCAACCCGGCCTGACCTGAGGCATCTCACTGTACCACCTCTGCAGCCTGCCCCAGGGATGGGCGGTGTGAGCCCCTGTGGTGGCAGGGACCATGCGGTGACCACCCTACAGCCCAGCACCTGCAGTGGTGCCTGGATGCAGAATGTGCTCAGTGAGTACGTGAGGCGTGACTGGGGGAATGAACGAATGAATGAATGAATGGGGGATGAGTAAATGGGGGAATGAGTAGGATGAGGATGGGGGAAAGAATGAAGAAGGGGAGGATGACTGAATGGGGGAATGGATTAGTGAGTGTCTGGGGAATGAGTGAGCAGGACCTACCAGCCCTGTGCAGCTGTGCAAAGGCTTTGAGTGACAGGGTCAGGCGGCTGACAAGGCAAAGATAGCTGTGTCACTGTGGCTGATGGTGTGACACAGAATGAAGAGGCCTTCCTGTAATCAAGGCCTGCAGATGGGCAGGGTTGGGGTTCTGGGGCCAGGCTCACCTGCTCCCCACTGGCACTGATTCAGGCTGGAGCCACCTCTGTCAGCCTCTCGGGGCTGTCCCCAAGCCCTTGGCACCTGGAAGCTCAGGACAGAGATACCGTCAGCAAGGGGACCTGGGTGGAACTAAGCCAGGATGGCAGCTGGGTGATGCGCCTGTCCTGCATGCCACCTTGCAGATGTGACAGCTCCCTGGTGCATGTGACGCTCACCTGGATCCTTTGTGCCCACTGCATGTGCTTGCAGCTTGGGAGCTGTGATGGCCTGATCTCGACAGACAGACATTTAGCTGCAGAAAGTGAGTTCCTAGTAGCATCAGGAGCAGAGAACCCAGGAGCCCCTCAGCTGGTGTGGCCCCTTGTCCTGGCCACATGTAGATAGATGGCCATGTGTCCCTCAGTGTCTAAGTTTTGCCACCTCAAGGCTCAGGGGCTGCTTCATGTGGCTGTTTGTTTTCAGGGCGATGGAGCAGTGTGAGATGAGGGTGGTGACAGAGAGGTCCTCTGAGCATCTCAGTTCTGTCCCCATCTCAAGCCAGGGTGACCTCGTGGTGGCCAGGGTCTGTGTTTGGTGGTTGAAATCTGGGGAGAGGCCAGTATGGACCTCTCACTGCTGCAGTGCGGTGGTACCTCTTGAGCGTGTCCCTCGTCTCAGGTGCCTCGCCAGGGCAGCGCGTGACTATCAGTGCCTGGCTCCCCCGCACCATTGTGGGCCAACACGGCAGGATCCCAGCAGAGCCCTGAGCGTGGAATGCTGCGTGACCCCTGACTCTCGTGACGCGGGGCTGCATCGTGTCAGTGATGTCACTGTGCCTTTGCACTGGCATCCCTTTGGTGGAACAGGAGCTTCTGCTCTCCATTCCTGGGGAACCTTGAAGAGTGGGTGACACCTGGGGGTGGGGGGAGGATATGCCCCCCTCTGTGAGTGCTGGGAACAGTGCCAGCTGTGTTCCCACCTCTGGAGCTGGGGCCTGCATTGCCCCGGGGGAAGCTGGAGGGCCCCGGCCCCACCCCCACGCCACCCTGCACTCATCCCTGCTCTGGCCTCATCCTTCCTCTGCCCACTGCCCACTCCCCTGGCTCCAGGGAGACTGTTCCTTTCTGTTCTTCCAGCTGTCACTGGCTCCCACCCATCCTTGCCTTGTGGCCCTCCTCTCTGTGTCTATGAGGTCCTACTCTGCCTCTCATATGCAGACCCCTGAATGCAAGATGTTCTCCCTTGAGACTCTAAATACAGGTGTCCCAAGGACCCCTTTGCTGGGCAAAGTCAAGGGGGTATAAGATGTGGGCATGGCAGTATAACCCACTGGACTGTCCCACCAGGGACCCAAAGCACAGCAGGGCAGTGGGAAGGAGGTGGTGGGGACCTTGCTGGCTGTGGAAGTCATTTGCAAGCAGGGTGAGAGGTGAGCCAGGGCCTGCTGCCCCGGCCTGGCAGTGGACACCAGAGAACAGGGCTCTGCTGGAGTCACAGGTCCGGTAAGCAGGCGAGTGTCAGGCTAGAACAATGGCACCTCTGAAAACCCTCCTGTGATGGGTTTCTTCCCTTTCCCTTCTGAGCCAAATCTCCAGCCCTTTTCCCTTTGTACATTTTTTATTTATTTTGAGACAGGGTTTCACTAAGTCACTAAACTGCCCAGGCTGGACTTGAATTTGTAATCCTCCTGCCTCAGCCTCCCAGAGTGCTGGGATTACAGGCCTGTAGCACCACACCTGGTTTAGATTAGAGATTTTCTCCTCTCTTTCTCAAAGTGAAGATTGTTTTATCGATTATGAAAGCAAGCCCAGGATTGAGATTGTGGCTTAGTAGTGGAACAGTTACCTAGCCCGTGTGAAGCCCCAGATTTGATCTCCAAGACCACAGAAAATTTAAAGAGTAAAAACCAACACTGAAAAGAATGATACATTTATTTTAAGATTTTTCAGATAATGCTTGAGTGTCTTGGCACACGTCTGTAATCTCAGAACTCAGAAGCTGAGGCAGGAAAATTCCCAAGAGTTGGAGATCAATGTGGGCAACATAGAGAGGCCCTGACTCAAACAAACAAACAAGACTTTCATGCAGCTCAAAAGTAAAAAGAGTCAATCTCCACTCCTGGGGCGGAGGTTTGTCTCCTTGGGGACAGCAGTGGTGTCCTCCACCTGCCCGCTCACCTATCCATCTCCGCACAGGTGAACCTGGTCTCTCTCGCATGCCTGACAGCTCATGTTTCTCCTCTCTTCTGCATGTGACATTCCCTTGTCCCCAGGGACCCACATGGCACACCAAGTGCCTGTGTCTAAAGATGCAGCACTGTTCACTTTGCACGGGGGTGGCTGACTCGGGGGGACAGGGCACCATTGCCGTCCCCCACCAGCCCAGAGAGCAGTTGTGGGGCTCAGCAGCCCCTCTGTGTCCTCAGATGCACTCGGTGTGCCGAGTTTGTGACTTACAGCAGAGTTTGTGACCGTGCTGTTCCTCCGCTGCCTCAGGCCATGTTTGAGCTTGTCACCTCCGAGGCCTCCTACTACAAGAGCCTGAACCTGCTAGTGTCCCACTTCATGGAAAACGAGCGGCTGAAGAAGATCCTGCACCCGTCTGAGGCCCACATCCTCTTCTCCAACGTGCTGGATGTCCTGGCCGTCAGCGAGCGGTGAGGCTGCCGCTGCGGGCCCGCTGCGGACGGGGCTCGCTTGAGTTGATGCACTTGCACGTTTGGGGTTTCCACTGCAAAATGTAATCGCTAAGACATAGATCCAGAGACGTACCACGTGCCCCGTGGTCAGCCAGTGGTCCCTTGCTCTTTGCCTGGGTATTCCAGTGTCCCCACAGAGCTCCCTCCGTCCGAGTTTCTGTGTGCCTTATGTTGCCCCCACCTGGAAGCAGACAGTGACTCTGCAAGGTGCCCTGTGGTCCCCTCTGTACAAGATCCCCTGGTCTCCCTGACAGTGTGCTGGTCTGTGCCACCAGAGACACAGTCCTGACCCTGACCCAGCTGCTGTCCCTGGCAGGTTCCTCCTGGAGCTAGAGCACCGGATGGAGGAGAATGTCGTTATCTCTGATGTGTGTGACATCGTGTACCACTACGCGGCCGACCACTTCTCAGTCTACATCACCTATGTCAGCAACCAGACCTACCAGGAGAGAACGTACAAGCAGCTGCTGTGAGTGCCCCTCGGGGGGGTGGTCGCCACCGCTGCTCTGCGCCTCTGCATCTCCAGGGTCCCACCAGGCCACAGAACAGCTGGGCTGGGAACAGGATACAGCCCCTGCAGGTTGCAGGGCATTTTGGTGTCAGTAGAGGACCATTAACCCTTAATCTCTCAGATGGACCCTGAGAGTCTGCCAAGGGGTGTTCTGGCCGCCCGGGCTCCAGGAGCTCAGGAACGATCTCCCTGGTTGTCAGCGCAGGGGGTCTGGGTGGGAAAGGAGTTCCCCAGTGTTACCCGGCAGAGCCCCTGAATGCATGGCTGCTGTACTTTCAAGACCCGTCCTTGCGGTTTCTGGGGACAGCTTGCCTCTTCAAATTCTTTGTATGGGTGGACGATGCCACTGGACGTGGCTGGGAGCGGTGGGGAGCCCTCTTAGCTCTGCTTGGAGCATCACAGGCAGTTTCAGCAGGGGCTCGCCGACTGGGGAAGGGTCTCCTGTGTAGGATCCTGTGTGTGGGAAGGAAGGACAGGTCACAGTCCAAACCACCCATGCAGCTTGATGGCCTCTGTGCAGCCCGGAAGCGAGGCAGGGGCAGGCTTTAGAGGACAGGGACAAGTTGTTGGCGTGGTTGGAGCTCCAGTGGATGAGTAAGCAGTGGCAGCAGTTCCCGTCCCCGCCTAGTTCTGGGTGACAGTCCTAGATACACCCGCTCAGATGAGAAAACCCATCCTTGAAGATTAGGTGGTCACAATTCATGGGACTGGCCGTCTAGGCAGCGTGCAGAGCAGCTGGGGTGACCTGAGGGTTCCTCTGCCTCTCAGCGCAGAGCTTGTGGGCTTTTCTGCCCAGCTGCATGGCTAAGTGCTCAGTCTGAGGCCCTGAGTACCCGCGTGGGAAGTGGATGGCGGGAAGACAAATGTGCCAGAATCTTCCTCAGAATATTCCCCGTAGTCTGAGTGTGCTCCCATGGTTCCTGCTGCTGTATCAGTATTTTTGCAGCACACAGTGGTTGATGACACTGATCGTGGTGGGGGCCCTGCAGACACAGTGCTCCCCACCCCTCCCTCTCTGCTCCTTCCACCCTGGGTCTCCTTCCCATTTGCAAAGACTCTATTTCCATCATTTCCCCCCTTCTTTTCTTCCTTTTTAATCCCCTTTCCCTCCCTCCTGTCACTTTCTGAAGCAGCTCTGGAAGTCCTCTTTCATGAGGATCGTTAGTTGTATTATTGTGGCTGCTTGGAGATCCCAAATTGATTCAAAATGTTTACTTTAGGCTAGGCATGGTGGCTCATGTAATCCCAGCACTTGGGAGGCTGAGGCAGGAGGATTGCTGTGAGTTCAAGACCACCCTAGGTTACAAAAAGAGCTCAAAGCCAGCTTGAACTGCATAGAGTGACCCTGTCTCAAAAAAGACCAAAAAAAAAAGTTTGCCTTTCGTGGTCATTCTGACTTTGGGGAAGAGCTAGCAGGCGCATGGTGCCAGAGCTGGTGAATGAGCAGGATGAAGGGCAAGTCTTGTTTTTACAAGGCTGCCTTTCCATTGGGTAGAACTCAGCAGCAGCATTTGCACCCTGTAGACACTCACGAAAGAGCACTTCCAGAGCTGCTTCAGAAAGTGGCAAGAATGGTGGGATGTGTTCAAAGCAAGAGAGGGTTTTGAGGGGTTCATGGCACTGTATCTCTTCCTGTAATCATTTAAAAAAACAAAAACAAAAACAAACTTAAGCATTCACCATGTATTTCAATCACACTCTGTTAAGGCAGGGCCCAAGAATCCCAAGTGTGGAGTCACAGGTGTGGCCCTGGGGTAGACACGTGTGACCCTTTACCCTGCCATGTGCACAAAGCATCTGGCCAGGTTGCTGCAGGCTGACTACGGCTGTCCCTGCCATGTGTGCCTGGCACTGTGGCTCAGCTCCATGGTGCCCACGCCCTGTCAGGAACAGCTCTGTGCCCCTGGCAGGAGTCGGGAGCCTGCTCCCAGCATGTGTGGCTTTACCTTGCTGTGCTTTCCTGCTGTGTGAAGTCATCTAACTGTGCCGCTGGTTCACAGGCTGCACGGGGAATTCTTGTCCTCCCACGTGCACATGTCTTGCTTAGCTCCTGGGCTTGGCATGTGAAGCCACCATTGATGTGTGCATGAGAGGTGTATTTTGCACACAAAAAAAGTGAGAGACAGAAAGAAGGTGGATGCTGTTTGTTTCTCCTGCCCATGGGACGGAAGTGATTGTGGTCAGAGCCTGGCCTGAGACCCTCTGTGTCCCCAGCCAGGAGAAAGCAGCTTTCCGGGAGCTGATCGCCCAGCTGGAGCTTGACCCCAAGTGCAAGGGCCTGCCCTTCTCCTCCTTCCTCATCCTCCCCTTCCAGAGGATCACGCGCCTCAAGCTGCTCGTCCAGGTACAGCCCAAAGCACAGAGGTGCCTCTGCCCTTGCATGGTCACCCATTACCTGCTGTACAGGCTGTTGGCTTTCTGGGAAATCCATTTGTTCAGCACGTACTAATGAAGCTGCTACTGTGTTCAAGCACTTTCCTATGCAGGAAGCTGCATTCCAGCAGGGACATGTGGGACAATAAATGGAGCACCCCAATAAGGGGTGACTCTCTGGCCACTGTCAGGGCAGGGTTGGGAAAGACGGGACAGGGTGAAACTTGGCTTGGGAGGAGCTGGCCAGGTGACCACATGGAGGAAAGTACAATCCATGGGCAAAGACCCTGGGGCAGTGAGGTGTACAGATGAGTTCCCAGCAGTGAGCTCGGGAACTGGGTTGGGTGAGTGTGAGGCAGTGTGGTCAGACGAGCCTGGCCGTGAACATGAGTTTTGGGTATCAAAGTTCAGGTAAGGAGAGGTTAGGGTCCAGGTCCATCTGTGGTTCTTAGGAGCAGGGACCAACAGGGAAGGAGATGGGACTGGGCCACACCTGGAGGGGATGGCATGGAGTAGGCTGAGCAGTGCAGGTGGCTCTGGGACGGACAGGCGTCCTGGAGGGGGTCTGGCCCTGCTGCGCGGCCACCGGAGAGAACCAGCTGGTCACATCCTGAGCTGCAGGCAGCCACTGGCATCAAGCAGAAAGGGACCCTTGCCGGGCTCTGATAGGGTGACTTGGGGCTCACAGTCAGGAGAAGTCAGAGATCAGGCAATGGGGCACACCAAGACGAGATGGGTGGGGGAAGCCTGGAGCCAGCTAAAGGACCCAGCATCCTCCTTAGAGGCCACTAGTGTGACCTGAGCAGGAGGGATTTTAATTCCAGTGAGAAAAGATGGAGCCTGCACTGTGCTGTCCAGTGGGGACACAGATTTGGGAGCAGGGGGACCAAGAGCACCAGGGGAAGGAGGGGCAGGGAGACCTCGGTGGTGGACCAGCATCCCTGGCTTGGCTGTGGACAGAGGAAGCCAGATGCCCTTAAAAGAGAGGTGGCCAGGCAGCATCAGGGCCATGCCCTGTGCACTGGAGACATTTGTGTGGCCGCTGGAAGGGTACAGGACATGGTCTGGCTGCCGGCAGGCCTCCTCCTGAGACAAAGCAGGTCTTTCGGGGAGACAGCTGGGTGGAAACCAAGGTGCAGGTTGTTGGTCCTGACTTAGACTGCTGATTGAAGGAGATTACACAATTAGAGAAATGGCCTTTGTACTGCCAGGGACAAAGTTAACAAGTCCTCGGGACAATGGTGGCCTGGGCTCAAGTGTTAACTCCGTTTGGGGTCAGAATAGAGCTGAGGGGGGCTGGGGATTTAGCTCAGTGGCATAAGCGCCTGGCTTGTAAGCAGGCAGTCGTGAGTTCGATCCCTGGTACCGATAAAAAGGAAAAAGACCAGAAAAAGAATAGAGCTGGGGTGTCATCCCCTGTTAATCTCCTCAGTGCTGAGGTGCCCTGGCCTCAGTGGCCACATGGGGAGCTCTGAGTGTGCTCGAGTGTGTGGTGGCCCGAGGGTGGCAGGGAGGGCAGGGGCCACACACAGAAGTAACGTGCCTGTCCTGGCTCAGAACATCCTGAAGAGGGTGGAGGAGAGGTCCGAGCGCGAGTGCACTGCCCTGGACGCCCACCGGGAGCTGGAGCTGGTGAGTGGCTGCCCCCTGGTGTCCCGGAGACTAGGACTTTGCAGGAAGAGGTGGGAAGCTGACGGGATTGGAGTGGTGCCTCCACCACCGCATACTCTCCCTGCTCTGCGCCCTGGGCCCTGTGGGTGAGGGTCCATTCAGCCCTACCAGGCCACAGAAGGCCATTGGTTTGCTGCCATGGGCTATGAGAGCCCCACCTAGCTCCAGGGGTCTCCTTGTGGTCAGCCCAAGGCCAGGCCATGTTTTCTACTTTAAATTCTTTTTTCCACTCAGTTCTTTTGGCTAGGGATCCCTGGGAGTTGAACCCAGAGCCTTCATGCCAAGTTACATCCTCAGCCCTTTTTAAAAACATGTCTCACTAAGTTGCCCGAGCTGGGCTGGGCTTTGCACTTGCCATCCTCCTGCCTCAGCTTCCCAGAGTGCTGGGATTACAGGGATGCATACCACACCCAACTTCCTTTTTTTTTTTTTTTTTTTAATCAAAAGGTACACTGTGTTTCTAATAGCTTACTTTTTCAAAATAAATCTTTTTAATTCATAAAGGTAACTGATGCTTAATACAAGAAGATTCAAAACCTGCTTGTGAGCACAAAGGCCGTGCAGGCAATGCAGGGCTGTTCCACGCCCACGGCTGGTGGGCTGCCTCCGCCTTCCAGCGGGATGGACACATGCGCACGCAGCACATGACCGATGTCTTTGCCGAAAGAGTCTGTGGCTGCTAAGCCTCAGGTTTTGCCATCCAGTTCGGCACATTTTTAAGGGCTTCCCAGTCAGCTGCACAGATACACTGGAGCCACTCCCATCTCTGTCCCCTCCCTGCAAGGGACGCTTGGTTAGTGACAGATTCATTCTAAACAGCTCTGCAGACAGCGCCCCTCTGGTGACTTCTTCTGACCTCGTGCTTAATGTGTGGTCATTTGTCATGCCGGGCTCTCTCCTGGCACCCAGGTGCCATGCCCAGTCACAAGGGTGGCTGGGGACCCCTGGGAGACCTGGGAGACACCACATCCCTCCTTGTCACAGGTGGTGAAGGCATGCAATGAGGGCGTCAGGAAGATGAGCCGCACGGAACAGATGATCAGTATTCAGAAAAAGATGGAGTTCAAGATCAAGGTGCGCGTGCCTGCCCCGCCCCAGCCAGTGCCCCCACCTGCACAGGAACCGCACTGGGTGCTGCTGCTGTGAGCTTGAGCTGAGTACAGTGACAGGAACCGTGCAGGGATCGTGTGCAGCACGGTACACACTCGCACACCCCATGCGTGCAGGCGCACATACATGTACCACACGCACTCATGGTGCCGCTATCTCCCTGTGTCTTTGGCACCCAGGCGGTGGCAGAGAGCGTGACAGCCTCCCAGCCACTACTTGGGGAGCCCCTGGAGCTGGGGGTGGTGGTGTGCCGAACACCATGGCAACGCCCGCCCTCCTTCCCTCCCTGCCTCCCAGTCGGTGCCCATCATCTCTCACTCCCGCTGGCTGCTGAAGCAGGGCGAGCTGCAGCAGATGTCCGGCCCCAAGACCTCGCGCACCCTGCGCACCAAGAAACTCTTCCGGGAGATTTACCTCTTCCTCTTCAACGACCTGCTGGTGCTGTGCCGGCCGATCCCGGGGTAAGCAGAGAGCATGGGCTGTGCTGCAGGGCATGGGACGTGGGGCCAGGTTCTCCCCTGGAACCCATGCCCTGTGCTACTGCCTCGGTCCCCAGGGACAAGTACCAGGTGTTCGACTCGGCCCCACGAGGCCTGCTGCGCGTGGAGGAGCTGGAGGATCAGGGCCAGACGCTGGCCAATGTGTTCATCCTTCGGCTGCTGGAGAACGCAGATGACCGGGAGGCCACCTACATGCTGAAGGCGTCCTCTCAGTGAGTGCTTCCTGCAAGCCCCAGGGTGGGGGACAAGGCTTGGTGGCTCCCAAAGTCCTGTGGGCAGACAGACAGCACAGTCCTGGTGCTGTGGCCATGTGTGTGCCCCTGTCCCATGTGGAGGGGTTCAGATGCAGGGTGAGTCCCTGTCCCCAGGTGGGACATTAGAACCTGGGTGCCAATGGACGCCTCCCTGCCCCTCACTTGCTATGTGGCGGTGGTCCCCTCTGCCCCTCTCTGAGGCATAGATGGGGAGATGTACTGTGAGCCTCAAGGCCCAGCGCTCCCTTGCAGGTACCTCTTCCCTCTCCTCTGTCCCTTGCCACAGCACCTCCCCCACCCCGCCCCACCCAGTCCTCCCCTGCCAGGACCTGTGCTGTGGCAGGGATGGACGGGAATCTTTTCCATCTCTGCCATGGCCAAGAAAGCACGGCTTCAATAGGGAGCCGCCTGGTTCCCAGGCTCTGGACCTAGCTGTCCCCAGTGCAGCCTTGGGCTGGGCCACAGGTGGCTGCCACCTTCCCACAGGGTGGTTTTGCCCTTGCTCCTCGGTGGGCCATGTCCTCTTCTCTATGCCAGGAGCGAGATGAAGCGCTGGATGACTTCACTGGCTCCCAACAGGAGGACCAAGTTTGTTTCCTTTACATCCCGGCTGCTGGGTAAGTCCCCGCCGAAGTGGCTCCAGGCCAAGGCTTCAGGAGCACCTTGAAGTGCAGGGTGGGGAGCTTCCACCAGGCTTAGCTTCCCACTGAGTGTGCTGGCTCCCTGGCACGGCCAACATTTGATGGTTAATGAGGAGAGAAGCCCCCTGGGTCTTGAGCGACAGATACCATGGCAACACTAGAGGAACTGGGGTCCCCAGCTTCAGGGAACTTCTGGAGCACCAGTTATCTGGGAAGCATAGAAGATTCCAGGGCACATGAGCCTGCTGCCACCCTTGTCCTGAGCCCCTCAAATGTCCTCAGCACTGAGCCCCAGTGCCTGTGACATCAAAGCCGAGAGCTGCCTGCTGTGGGGAGCCCCTTTCCCTGCCATCTCCCCAGCTCCCCTGGGGCATGGAAGCCGGCCTTCCCCTCTGTGAGAGGAACCTTTTGTTAGCTACTGGGAGGCCTCCAGGGGGTCCCTGGTGTCCCAGGCTTGCCCGAGTGTGGGGCAGGGCAGGGCAGGGGACCTGGTGCTGGGGATGCACCATGCCCTTCCTCCCCCCGCAGACTGCCCGCAGGTCCAGTGTGTACATCCGTACGTGGCCCAGCAGCCAGACGAGCTGACGCTGGAGCTGGCAGACATCCTGAACATCCTGGAGAAGACGGAAGATGGTGAGGCTCTGGGGCTGCACCGAGCCCCCGCCCCACTGCCCGCAGCGCCGGCAGCCAAGAACCCACTTCCAGTCAGAGCACTGTGCGCTCTACTCCCCTCATCCTGTCCTGGGAAGGCCTGGCCTCGGCCTCCCACCACCATGCAGGGAGCAGCACTGCATCGTTCTGACCCTGACCTTGCCCTGGCCTGGACCCCAGCGCTCTTTGGGCAGCGAGGGTCAGGGAAGCCCACGAATACCGGACTTGGCCCCGGGAGGGCTAAGAAGTACTGGTTCCTGCCAGCCCTGCAGATGGCATCGTGCCTGAGCAGTGTAACCCCTACTTCCTGCTGCAGCACTTGCCTCAACTCCTTTCTACATTAGTGTTTCCTGGTCAAAGTCCTCACATTGTACAAAAGCCTCTCTCTGCCCAGGTCCCTCAGCCCTAAAGTCCCAGGGCTCTCTCCCCCAACCCCAATGCACACTGCCTGATACCATTCCCTGGTGACCCGTCCAGGGCACAGAAAAGGACCACCACACAGGTGGGGAGGTCTAGGCCCTAGCAAAGTCTCTGGGGGTTTGAGGGACCAGAAAGGAGGGAGTGAGAAGGCCAGGGCACTGTGTGACTCTAGGTGTCACCAAAGCTGGCCAGGCTGGGCCTCTGCAGGGGGAGAGGTTGGGTGGTGCTGCCCAGTGAGAGGGTGACCCCACAGTGCAGTGGGCTAACCAAGTGGCTGGCCACCACCACTTCAGTCCAGCGGATGCTCTGGCTTTGGGGGAGGCTGCTGGGGCGCCTGGCCTTGGTGGGATCACCAAGGTTTCCACGATGGACTCCAGGATCTGTGGGGACATGCCCCAGCCCACGATGTGCACTGTGTCACCCAGGTTTGCCTTGAACCTAGCTGGGTAGAGCCGACCCCTAGGCCTCGGCCCCCTAGGCAACCTGACTGCCTACCTCCCTCACAGGGTGGATCTTCGGTGAGCGTCTGCATGACCAGGAGAGAGGCTGGTTCCCCAGCTCCACGACTGAGGAGATCCTGAACCCCAAAATCCGCTCCCAGAACCTCAAGGAATGCTTCCGCGTGCACAAGATGGACGACCCTCAGCGCAGTCAGAATAAGGACCGGAGGAAGCTGGGCAGCCGCAATCGGCAATGATTGACATGGTGGGCGCCAGCCCGGGGCAAGGATGTGGGCAGGGAACAGGCTGGTGGGGCCTTGATGGACACAGAGTGCTCTCAGGACAGGCCAGTGCTGCCCCCAGCGGTAGCAGCAATGGCCCGGCCTGTGCCCTGTCCCTGCCGACGAAGTGAGTGTCCAGGGTCTCAGCCCTGGCTGGCACTGCAGGAGCGGCTGGAGAAGGCACCTGCCTGACCATCTGCAGGGGTGGAGGACCAGGTGGTGTCACATCACTGTGGCTCCTTCTTGTCTCTTGGGAGCCCCCTGGGGCTGGCAGAGGCCCAGAGCCAGGTGTCCCTGGCAGGGTCAGGTGGGAGGTGACGACTGTCACAATCCCCTGCACTGCACGCATCCTTCCCTAGCAGGCACCCAGAGGGCCACCCTTGCCTGACAGCTTCCGGAGCAGCCTTCGGTCTCCGGCTGCCAGGATGAGACCGGCAGCCTCTGTCCCCCTCCAGTACCTCAGCCGGCTGCACAGCCACCCACTCTATACAAGCCCAGCGGGACTTGGCTGAGCTGCAGCCCCGGGCTCCTCATCCTCCTTGGGCCAGCATAACTCATGTTTTCTGGCCCTTTCGGGAGCCCCAGTGTCTTATGGAATGAATTGGTCACTGCATCCTGTTTGGTTATGGTTCCAAGAAAAGCAAATATCATCTCTGGCTGCATTAAAGAAGCATCATGTAGTTGCTTGGGGGAGGCGAATTCTTTATTGCCCTGGTGTGTACCGAACGAACTGCTTGGTGCTGGGTGGGGGGAGCACTGGTGGGAGGGGTCCCCAGGGAGGGATCCCTAGGGAGGGGTCCACAGGAAGGGCGCATCCAGGGGAGGAGAGAGCAGTGATGAGGCTGTGAGACAGCTCTGCAGAGAGGGGCCATTGTGTGGGTGCTGGGGAGGCCTTCACGCCAGGAGGGGAGGGGACGGGACGGATCTGTGAGGTGCTGAGGTGCAGTGTGCAGCAGCTGTGACCGCAGGCTGGACCAGGCCAGACTCCGGCTCTCCTGGCCTTCAGCGGCACCAGCTCCTCCCAGGCCCTGAAACTCCATCCCTGCTCCAGTCCCTCAAGGGTCCCCCAGACTCGCCCAGGGTTTGCATCCACACCCAGACTGGCCTCAGAGCCACAGCCACGGCAGGGCTCCTGGTATCCTCTGCGCATCGCAGGCCTGCTGTGGGGGGCCCAGCCCCTGTCCCTGGGAAGGAAGGGCTGGGGGCTCCTGCTGGGAGGTGGGGAGTCTCCCAGTCCCACAACAGGGGAGGAGCTGGGATGAGACCCTGGGCCTGGCTCCCTGAAGCTGGAAGCCGTAGGCTGAGTACCACAGTCCTCCCCCACGAGTGATGGCTTTGGCTATATAAGTTTCTGTGAAATAATTTCAACAGCCTTTTGTAACAGAAACGTTTAACCCATGCCATGTTTGGGGAAGGCTGCTGGAGTGGGGGTGCCCTGGTGTGTGAGAGGGGGCAGACAGTCACCCTGGGCACTCTGGAGTGTCCAAGAGTACACACTTTGAGACAGGGTCAGGTGCCACCCAGAGCTCAGCCAAGCCAAAGAGGCCAAAACTGCTGACCGCTGACGATAAAGAGGAAACCAGGCATAGTGATGCATGCCTGTAATCTCAGCACTCAGGAGGCCGAGGCAGGAGGATGGCAATTTCAGGCCATTCAGGACTACCACAGCAAAACTCCATTCTCCAAAAATAAAAAGGGGAAGGGATCCCTCCTGTTGCAGTAAACCTTACCCAGGGGGCTTGCAAAAGTTCACAGCCACATCTCCAGGCCTGGCCAGAGGGGGCCCCTGGGAAATCCCTCCAGACTATCACAGCTATGCTGGGCTCCCGCCAGGCACGGAGGCCAGAGGGCAGCAGGCATGGGAAAGGGCAGCGCTGAGGCGCACTAAGCGAGAAGAGCCGGCTCCACTTTCTGGGCACCAAGCTCCAAGGGGCGAGCACAGAGCCTGCTGGAAAATGCACGAGCCCACCCCACCCCACCTTGGAGCCGGATGAAAGGCAGCAACCTCAGCCAGAGGGTCGGGGAAGGGGACAAGGGACAGAGCTGGCTTCACCTCTCGACTTGTCCCACTCCTGAGTCTCCCTGGAGTAGAGGGTCCTCAAGCCTAGGCGAGTGCAGGGTGTGGCCCTGAGCAGACTAGGTCCCTCCAAGCCAAAGGACGCCCCTCAAAACAACTCTGTCCCAGGCACAGGCTCCTGGGGGGGGGGGCATGCAGAGGTGGAGGGGATGTGGCCCCATGCGCAGGCGCAGCATGGCCCACACTCCGGTGCACGCGCACTTCCTGGCGCACGTGGCCGGAGCGCGCATGTAGCATGCCACAAGCCCCCGCCCCCACGTTATGCACACTCACGTGCGGGCGCACGCGCAGACACAGGCAACGGAGGCTGGGTGCCGCCGAGGGGCGTGCGGGTCCGCACGGCTCCTTTATTTGCTTCACGAGGCAGAAAACTTTCTCAGCGCGACCACCACGAGCGCCAGCACTACGCAGGTGGCCAGCAGGGCAGCAATCACAATGGCGGCGATGGCTCCGGGCCCCAGCGAGCCTGCAGAGGGCGGGATCCATCAGCCCAGGCCAGCCCCACGCCCGGCACCCCGCTCCCGAACCCCTTGCACACCTCCGCCCTGGTCCAGCTGCTCCTGCGCTGTGCTGTCCTCAGGGCCAGGCGCTGACGTGGGGGCCGGTGGGCCACTGGGCACGCGCTCTTGGCTAGGGCTGGTGCCTTCCACAGCACCTTCTCCCGACGGCAGCTCGGCTGGCTCGTTCCACAGGGTGGGCTCAGGCTCCTGCGGGCTCTCAGCTGCCAGGCCAAGGACAATGCTGTGTGACAGGCTCAAGGGTGCAGCACCACCCTGGGCCAACCAGGTCACAGGCGAGGCACCTGCGGAATTCACCCAAGGCTGGGAGGCTGCGTGTCTGTCACCCAGAGCCCCTACAGGGATGGGCTGCTCCGCCCATGTGAGGAGATTGATAGGGTGTAGGGGAGGCAGGGACCACAGGTCCAGACCCCAAGTAGCATGGTCCGTCTAGTCTGAGCTGAGGGCCATGCGGGCACTTGGGCCAGTCTTCACCCAGGACGGGGTCCCTGCCTGTCGAGAGCCCCAGTAGGAAGACCACAGAGGACCACCCTGGCACAGGCCCTGCTGCTCCTCTGCCCAGGGCCTTTCCCACCTCCACAAGGAGGCTAACAGCCCATTGCCACCCCTGAAGCAGGTGGAGAGGGGCAAGGTGGCCAGACTGGGGGGCCCCACACATGCCAGCTGCAGTCAGCACATCAGACAGGAGTCTGTCCCTGCTTGGAGAATCTGGGAGTCCCTGTGGCCCCTTCTCATGGGCACTACCCCTGGGCAATCTGTGCCAGGCTCCACAGATGCATGACCAGGTCTTCGGAGGAGACAAGGACTCCAGAGAGATAAACAGAGGGGTCTTCGTGGGCAGGGCAGGAGCCCTGTGTGAAGGGAATTTTGATTGTCGGTGGAGTCTGGATTTTGCGTAGCTTAGCCCTGCACCAGCTTTTTGACAGCAGGGTTCAGCCATGTGGGAGAAAGTCCTCATTCTCACAAAGAGTTTGGGGGCAGGGGGGCCGTGTGACATCTATAGCTTAGCTCAAGGAATCTGGTGTTCTGGAACAGGAACCATCAGGCCCTGTGAGCCCAGTTGATGGATGGGGTGGCAGCACCCGGCTAGCTGGTGAACCTAGGCAGAGGTCTGGATTTCACTACTTTGCTAACTTTTCTTACCATTTTCTCACTGTAAGACTTTACCAGGTTTCTAGCTTTCCAGGCCCTGACGCGCCCGGTGGGATTTTCTGAGGCTCAGCTTGAGCCCCAGGGTTCCTCAAACCAGAACCCCTTTCAAAAGACCCCAGGCCAGAAGTCCCCGACACACACCTCCACTACCCACTCACAGAGGCCAGGGTTAATGACAGTGCAGCTCTGGCTGGCCTCCTACCCACCAATCTGAGGACCCCTGTGAGGAGGGGAGGTGACCAGCAGGGCTCCCATGGAGGCAGGGGTCTGAAGCCTCAAGGTTCCCAAGAAAGGGCCCAGGCCCCAGGCATGCTGACCTCAGGGTCCCAGGGCTGGGCAGAGAAAAGACCTGGGGTTCACAGGCTCCTATCTCCCCCAAGATGGAGAAAACACTTTCCCCAAGACAGATGGGCAGGCCGACACCTCCCTGTCCTACCAGGGCCAGCCAAAGCTTACCTCTTGTGCTGGGGACCTGGCCAGGAGGCCGGGGTCGGGGGGGGGCGCTTCTGGGTACTATGCCCAGCCTGGCAAGGAGGGGTCTGGCAGTCCTGAGCCACAGGGTGAGCTGGACCCAACCCACCAGCAAAGGGGGAGCTGTTGTGAGAGTGGGGGCCGAAGCATTGCCCTGACTTGTCTGGGTCACTCTGAGTTTCTGAGCTGGGGCTCCTAGGAAGCAGAGCTTCAGTGCGGTCCCCTTCACCTCCCCCAGATCTGTCCTAGGAAACCAGGGACAAAATGGCAGGGGTCACTCTGCTAGTTTCCCTGTGGGAGGCCCACTGGAGCAAAGGTGTCCAGCGGCCAGGTGATAGCAAGTAAACTCTGGGAAGGGGTAGCCACAGGGGACAGCAGAGAAGGGCCCTCCCCGCTCGAGTGATACAGCCTAGGCAGTGACAGGGCCTTGGGACTTCATGCTCTGGATGGGGAAAGCGGGCCCTGGTGGCATTGCCACAGGCCATGGGCTTCCCCAGGCTCCACCACCCCCAGCTGGCTGCCTTTAGGTAAATAAGTTCGTTTAACGCTCAGTCTGACCACAGGGCCCCAGGACTGGGCGCCCGTACTCACAGACGGCCTTTGTGAGGCCCATGAAGGCCCTTTTCATCCCTGCCCTGGCCTCCTGCCCGCTCAACCTGGCTTGCCCCCACCTCAGCGCTGCGGCCACCAGCCCCTGGCAAGGAGGGTGGCAGCCTGGACCTGTGCCTCAGCCTCTAGGCTACTCCTTCCCTCTTACCAGCCGCAGGACCCCAGCCCAGGCAGAGGCAGGGACCACGGCCTGGTACACACCTGCTCGGCGCTTTCTGCCGGGGCCCTTCCGAGTGAAGCCCGGGACCCTCGACAGCCCCGCACCTGGGCTGGGCTGTGGGCTTTCGGGAGGATACGTGCAGAAAGGGCCTTCCTGGCTGTCCCCAGAGCAGCCCCCATTCCTGCAGTAACAGGAACGATGGTGTCCCTGGTGTCCTCAGGACAGCGAGCAGCCATGAAGCTGCCTCCTGTACTCAGGGCTCTCCCTAGGTCCAGGCGCCGTCCAGGCCTGCTCAGTGGGCCCCTCCCCACCTCACGGTAGCTGGGTGCTCCCACCCCGGGGAGGACGTCCTGCCCACGGACCCTGCACAGCCCTGCCATTTACCAAGCACTGACGGGACACCTGGCTGCCTCAGAGCCCCCTGTGTGGACTGGCGAGGCAGAGTAGATGACAGGCACTGAGGTAGCCCATGGATCACCTCTGCCTCCCTGGCCTTCCACAGTGTGTTGGGGGGTCCCATCTCTGTCTCCAGGCCACATCCTCACACTCAGACACCTCCAGAGCCCAAGATATGGGGCCTTGAAATGCTCTGGGGACCCCAGCAGCCATTTCGGTCACCACGGACTGAAGGGCAGCGATTGCTTCCTCCTGAGGGTAGAGCCGCACAGCAGCCCCGGCCATCGGCCTCAGCCCAGGGCGGCAGCTGGTATCCTCGCCCCTTGGTGCAGGAAGTAGGAGCCCTCCCTCTGGCAGTGTCTCCCAGGGTGTGAACACCTGGGTCTTTGCTTTCTGAGGACCTCACGGAACCAGGGGCGTGCGGGGGAGGCTGGGGGGTTTGGGAAGTGACTACGAGGCTCTGTGGTTCTCCCAGCGCCTGGGCCTCTGGCTCGTAAGCTGCTTGCCCATGTCCGTGGCCTGTTCCCCAGGCTGTCCTCTGTCTTTGGAGGCCATGTCCCAAGACATCTACCCAGCTACCAGCAGATTCGTCCTAGATGCTCCTGTCAGGATCTTCTGCCCGTGCAGTTCTTGGGCCGGGGGTGCTGGTGGCAGCAGAGCCAGGGCTGTGCTCCTTACCTGTGAGCACCGCAGGGGCCAGGACCCCAGAGATGAGCAGCAGGGCCATGTGCAGGGCCAGACAGGACGCCATCCTGGCCAGGAGTGAGATCGGTGGGCGGGACACAGAGGACTGAGCTGCTGCACCTTGGCAGCGGGAAAGAGTCATCAAAGAGCTGGGGAGGGTTTTCATCAATGCAAACTCTGTCCTCCTGGGACACAGTGCCCACCCCCGCACACGCGTGCGCACATGCACACACACACACTGCACAACCTCACAGAACAGACCCACTTTCCTAAACTCGGGAGTAGCCCCACCCTTGGAGAGGGAAGGAGGAAACTGCTCTCTCTCTCTCTCTCTCTCTCTCTCTCTCTCTCTCTCTCTCTGTCTCTCTCTCTCTCACACACACACACACACACACACACACACACACACACACATTCTTGGGTCCTTGGAGGTGAGAGGTTTCCAAACTTCCTGGTGCAGAAGAGACACCCCAAGAACTGGGAAAATGCAGATGTCCAGCCCTGTGGCTGGGTCCCTGTGCATGCACCCAGGAATGAGCATGTTGGCACGGGGCTCAGCCCCCAGCCCTCTCTGCCTGCCACAGCCTCTGTCCACATACCCCGTGGAGCCACACACCAGGCCCCTCTCACTTTGCCCACTGTGCTCCTGTTGCCACTTCCATCCTGGCCTGGTCCGGAGCTCTGCCCCGTGGCCCCCTGCCTCCCCACCTGCTCCTGGGACAGCGTCTCATGCCTGAGCATCCGGTGCCTCCAGGGCGCACCCTGCCTCAGTGACTTCTGGCCCCTCACCTCCCAGAGGTGCAATTCAAAGGTCTGCCTTTTTCCCCATACTCCCCGCGTCCAAACCCTTAGCAAGTCCTGCCAGCACCCCCTGCTTTGTGCCCTCCCTGGTTACCCACTACCTTTAAAACAAAAAGTCAAACTAAAAGCTTCCCTTATGTTGCTCAGCTCCCCCACCTCTGCTTGCTAAGCCCCAACTAGGTTCCCCAAACACACCAGATGAGCCTACTGTAAGCCCTTTGCACCTGCTGTACCTGCCCAGAAAGCTCACCTTGGAGCTACCTTATTTCCATTCGAATCTCAATGTCATCAGCCTCACTATCCACCCATCATATCATTTAATTTATTTTACCACTTCTATTTGCCAAAGTTATCCAGTTTTTTATTAATATTTGGAGGGATAATATAGACACCGGGAAGTGCAGCATATTTTGAACTCTGCCTATATACTCAGTGTAAACGCCACCCTGATCAACAGGGGCAGAGGCAGCACACCCTCTGATCCCCAGGACCCCTCCTCGGGGAAACCCCACCCCTAGAATATCTTGCCTCTGTCTCCAGGGACACTCATCTACTCTGGAACTTCGCACGCACACACAGTATGCCTTTGAGCTCCCATCACATCGTTGCTCAGCACTAAAGTATCCGAGGGACTGCCAGTTTCTCCATTCTGTCCACGTACTTATCCTGTGTCAGTCTGTCACCAGGGTGCTATTATTGCAGATACAGCTCTACAATTATTCTTGTGCATCTTTTTCTGTAAGGCAACACTGAAGACAGCACTGCCAGAAGTGTGTGTGGGGGGGGGGCGGTAAATGCTTACCTTCCACCTGCCCCAGTCTGTTTTCCAAACTGTGTTCCAGTTTCTACTTCCCAGCTGAGAAAGCTCCAGGTGCTCCAGAGCCTCAGCAACACTTGGTGTTGTCGGCCTTTTTATTTCCGGTCACCCTGGTGGTTAGGTACTACTGTTGCATTGTGGTTTGAATTTGCCCTCCCATGATCAAGCACCTCTCCGTTTTCTGACCACTGGACACGCTCTGTTGTCAAGGGAGTGCTCAATATTTTGCCTTTGGATTAAGGTCTGTCAGAATTTATCTCAGGACATTTTTGTACATTACAGATGACACCCTTCTGCCAGGCAGATGTAACAGAACTTTTAGCTGAGGGGGTTTATTGGGTTTGGTTTGCTCTACCTGGGGACTGTATCCCAGGACAGGAGGGGCTGTTTTTGTTCGTTGATGCATTCCAGAACCTCACGCCATGCCTCACCTGCATCAGGAACTCAATATTTTATTGAACTCAAGCAGCAGGGCTTCTGGGCTGGGTTTACCATGAAGCACCTTCTGGGTTCTCCCCCATTCATTCTCCTGTTTGCTAGCTTGACCCCCCCAGCTTCCTGGGCCCCACCAAAACCCCACCATAATGAGGCTCCTTTGCCCACTGTCTTAGTTACTCTCTTTTTTTTTTTTTTGTCTTTTTCTTTTTTATCGGTACCGGGGATTGAACCCACAACCACCTCTTACAAGGCATGTCCATATGCCACTGAGCTAAATCCCCAGCCCCCAGTTACTCTTAACTCATCACTGAAACAAAATACCTGATGCACCAAGTTGGGAAAGGAAAGGTTTATTTCTTACAGTTTCTGGAGGTTTCAGTTGGCTCCAAGGCAGGGTGGCATGGCGGTGCCGCAGTTCATGGTGGCTGCAAACAGCAAGGCAGAAACTGGCAAGAAAGTGAGACACACCTTCTTCCTGCCATTACATTACATCCTGGCTCCACCCCATTGTAGGCCATTGTAGCACTCATACCCCCAATGGAAGCACTAGACTATGAACCAATCACAAATGCACAATGCAGATGCATGAGGCCTGCGGGCCACCAACATAAACCATGACACCCACCGACTTACTGTCAGGGTGTACTTCTAAGACACTGGAAGGAGATGGAAGGTGGGAGGGAGTGGCACTGTTCGTGCTTGGACTTTTCAGTGTCTTGTTAGTCACATCAGTAACAAGTGGTCATGTGGTGCTGGCTGCAGCAGCAGATTCTCCTCGGGTGGCTTTGACACTTGGAATGTCATGGACGGTGCTCTGGTCTTAAATTTCTGCTCCTCCAGCCCAAGGTGATATAACCAGTTATAGTTTCTACTTTTTGAGTAAATTTACCAAACCTCTTGTGCCTCTAATCCTTTAAACATGATTGTAGCAAACCCTGCATGGTGGCACACACCTGCAATCTTAGCACTTGGGAGGCTGAGGCAGGAGGGTCACTGTCAGTTTGAGGCCAGCCTGGGCTACATACTGAGACTGTGTCAGAACCAACCAGCCAGCCAACCAACCAACCAAAACTCCACCTGGACTAAACAAAGAAACAAATCCCTATGCTAAATCTCTTCTGCTTGAAATACCTAGGACAGTCTATTTCCTGTTTGGATTCTGAGCACAGCAATACTTGGTATCTGCAGTGGTCCTGGGAGATGGATCATCAGAGATTTCTTCCTTTCCTGGTTCGCCACCCTATTTGACTTTAATTTAACACAATGAAGACCCCACTGCTACAGAAAGGTAATGAATATCTGGCAGGCCGGATACTGAAACTCATAGTCTGTTTACTGTGAAGTACCCATCAAAGACAAAGTGTAAAGTGCCAAGTGCGTGCTGACAACAGTGGTGACTGATCAAGAGTCATGAACAGGCTGCTTTTTTTACTGGATTCAGTGCTCACAGAGCATGACAATTGCAGGACTTTGAATCCTAAGGTCAAGGTATGATCAGAAAACTGGAGAGATTTCCGTGGCACGAAAATCTCCTCCTTCTTACAGTGACAGCATAACTGACTGCCAACATCTAACTGCACAAGCTGTAGAATCACACTGTAAAGTTGAATTCATAGCCTTGGCAGTTGTCTTAGGGGAAACCAAAGGCACAGGTTGGTAAGGAGTGAGATGCTGAGGCTGAAAGGGCGTTATATGAGCAGATCAAACCAATCTGAGCATTCACCACCCTCAGCCCTCCGGCAGAAGCAGCAGACGCTTTGCTTTGTCTGAATACCACCTGTCTGTTAAATTCCCTGGCAGGTAACGCCTGTCCTTGAGGCCCATCCTGGCAACCCCTTGTTTTCTCCATTTCCTCAACCGGACAGCCACATCCAAAGATGCAGATGAGGTTCTGAGGTTAGGGCTTACCTAGCATGCACAAGGTCCTGGGTTCAAGCCTCAGCACCACTAGAAACAAAACAGCAATGGAAAACTGAACAGCACTCCCAAGAAGAGAGCCTGAGACAGGGAAAATAGTCAAATACAAACTAGAACTAGTGATATGTTTTGCTAGCAATAAATTGGTGAGTGCGGTATGGCTGGCTGCGGCCCTTGCAGGGGGAGAACCACCAGCAGCTCCTAAGATCTGCACCATGTTGGAACTTAGGACGCTGGGAAACCAAGCAAGCAGCTACCCTCCCTGGTAAGTGGCTGCAGTGTGGCAGACTATGGCCCCCCAGGGGGAGAACCACCAGTGTCTTCTGAGATCCACACTATGTTGGAACTTACAAAGTTGGGAAACCAAGCAACCAGCCTGCCTCCCTGGTAAGCAATAGTGAACCTACTGGTGCACGGCTTAGAGTCAAACATCCCACTTCCCCTACCCGCCTTTTCCTGTACCCTGTTAGCAAATGGGAACCAGAAATCTGAGCATCTCCTGGGAGGTTGACCATAGCAAATAAGGGGGATTTCCTTCTACCATTTCTTTGAAGGCAAATATTTTTATTACTGTTTTGCTCTATTCTGATTAATGATACTGCTCTATTCAATATTTTGTTTTGATAAGTTCTATAATGTTCTGTATTTTTGATATACATGATTGAAAGAACTATTGTAAAGATAATGAAATATACTGTGCTACCTATTACTGTTATCCCAGTAACCTGCCGTGAAGTTCTGTTCCGATTTCGCTGTACAATCTTAGTTGGCTTTATTCTGTCTTGTTCTGTTGTATTTTACTACTTTCAAAATAAAATTTAAAAAATAAATAAATAAATTAGTGAGTGCATGGCCCTAAATCAAGGCCGGCAGTTTTCTGAAGCAATTGGCTTCAAGCAGGAACCTAAAATGGTAGCTTTCTATGGTCTGTTTCCACTTCAGAACTGAAGAAATGTAGTGGTCAATTCATAGAAAGAAACAACTTGTCCCCCAGTGAGTCTGTGATTGCAGCCCTGAGAAACAGCCACCACCCCCACCCTGCTGCGGGCCCAGAGAGGTGGCCATGGTCCTTGGTGAGCCAGGGGCCCAGAGCAAGCCATACCTCCTGGTGAGTCCCCACCAGGCCTAGAAAAAGGGAAGATATGCGCCCCTAATGAGCCAGCCACCTAGGCAGGAGTAGAGGCCACACATAGCCATGAGCCCACAGCTTGGACCCAGAGGAGAGGAAGCCACACCCCTCAGGTTCTGCAGCCATTGTGGGGAACACTGATGAGCAGCTGCCCCCGTACTTCTCCACTGCCCTGGGAACCTTGGAGTGGAGGAACACAGGGGCCTGGCCCAATCCTCTGCACTGCCGGACTGGCAGCCAATACAGGAAGCACCTGGGACTCAGCAACCTCAACCTCCCGATTAGGAGGAACACAGGAAGATGTCAGGGCAAAGGAGTAGGTTGCAATCTCAGCCCTCCAGGAGACACAGACACAAAAGACATTAGAAGTCACACACCTGAAATCCCTGAAATGTCAGCAACCAAAGAGACAAGTTAGTGTTTATATTGCTTAATTCTGCCTAACTATATCTCATCCAGAACGAGTCCAGGAGACACAGTCACAGAGGAAATTAGAAGCCACACACCTGAAATTTCTGAGATGGCAACTGAAATAAAAAACAACTTAGTGTTGTACTGATTGACTTTGCACACCTATTCCTGAGCATTTGTTTAGAGGATACTGCGTATTACAGTAACTATGGTTATTTCCTACTGTTTTGTTTTTGAAATCTATTTCACTTCCATTGTTTTTATTCTCTTTAAAATAAATGAGTACCTGCATGCCATGTAAGATTTTGCCAATTTATAGTAATAGAAATCTGAAACATGCATGGTGATGAATTTGAGGTGTTAAATACAAGATGGGAATTAATCTTAGAACAAGCCACATGTACTGGGTCTGCTTCCTAGATACTGAATCATATGTTTTTCCTTGTTTTGTTTTGCTTTGGGTATGGGGATGGAATCCAGGGTGGCTTTGTACATGCTAGGCAAGAGTTCTTCCACCAACCACTTCCTCAGCCCTTTCTAAGCTTTGAGACAGGATCTTGATAAGGTACCTGGGATGGGGTAGCCTCAATCACGGGATCCTCGGCCTCTGCTTTGCCAGTAGCGGGCGTCATAGGCACGATACCATGTTTCAGTTCCAACCCTTGCTCTAGTATTTCGGTTGGCACTCTCTAATAGCCCAGAAACAATGAGGAGAAGCCTAAATTAAGGAAAGAGAGGCAAGTCTGAGGCTTAGGAAGAAAGGAACACTGGTGCATTATTTTTTTTAGATGAAGGTGCAGATTCACGTCCCCAAGAGGCTGTCCAAGGTCTCCAAACACACTCACTCCTCCTTCAGCCGTGAGAGATGCACTGGTCAGGCGCTCAACTAGAGAGATGCACTGTGCTGTTCCTAATGGGCCAGGTGGATGAGGAACCTGGTTTCAGTGCATCCTGATGCATTGCTTGATGACAGGTGAGCAGAGGCCTGCACTTACTACCAGGGAGCACAGAGCCTCCCATCCTGTTCCCTGACCCAGGCCTGATGGTAGGAAGGCACCTGCAGGACAGCCACGGTACACAGAAAGTCTTCTTGGAAATTCCAAGGTGCGTGCAGCCGTTAGCCAGGGGAGCTGTGTCCCAAGAATGGAGAATCTCAGCTCCTCTGGGGAGTCAGACTTTGGCCCTGTGATGACACTGATCTCTGGACCTGAAAGATGCCCAATGAGAGCTGGGCATCAAGGGGTAAATGGAGGCTCACCTAAACCCATTGCAGTGGACGAGAGGCCGGGGCAGGGAAGCTGGCCAGGGGCAATGGGACTCTCACAGTGGACAAGCCAAGCTGGTGAACCCAGCGATCATTTAGAGGTAAGAAAGCAATAGGACAACTGGGGCTGGAAAACATTCTTGCAGGCAATGGGGTCGGAAAGTGCCTCAAATTCACAGGGGCAAACAAGTCTAATTCACAGGAAACGTGGCAGAGGCAGACGCTGACCTTGGAGGGCATTCTGCTAAATCTGAACATGGGATTTCAGAAATGGGACCAAAGTAGAAGAAAAAAAGCAAATCAACCTAATGCAATTAACATCATTTTGATGATTCAGATTTGGTTAAGTTTTGAGACGCCCAGACACATCGGTGGGCTGGGTGGTGTGAATTTTAATACTACTAATGTGACAAGGCAGATTTAAGGGTGTCCTGCTGCTATGCGTATTTATATGCAGGATCTTAAAGGAAAAAGGATACATAAAATGAACAAAATGTCAAAAATCACGGAAGTTTGCATGTTACGAAGGAATCTATGACACAAGCCTACTTGTGTGTTTGCATTTTCTTATTAAGGATGACAACTTGAAGGCAAAACTAAGTGAACACAGCAGCAGCCAGTGACCTCAGAAGACAGCCTGGTCAGGAGCGAAGGCCTGGGTGGCCTGCAGCTGAGCAGAGGTCATCAGAACTTAGAATGACAGCAGAGTGTGCAATAAGCAGGTAGGTGTGGTGGTCCACACGTCATCCTGGCACTCACAGAGCCAGAGACAAGAGGATTTCAAATTCAAGCCCCGCCTGGGCAACTTAACCAGTAAGCCCCTGACTCAGTTTTTCAGAAGTGCCATGGATGTAGCTCAGTGGGAAGGCCCTGGGGGCCCAAGGCCCTGTACTGAAAAAGAAAAAAGAAAGGAGGGTTCCACTTTCACCCCGTCATGACCAGCTCAGAAGCAGGACTACAGTTCCTGAGTGCTCCCTGTATCCCTTCCTACATATACATACATGTTTGAACATGCTTTTCCCGCTTTTATTTCATATATAAGAAAATTTAGTCCTTGGGATACCAAACAGCCAGACTGGACCGAGTGCGGCCCATAGTGGCTGACAGATGTGTCGTGAGCAGTTCACCTCACTTTCTGTTTGTGTCCAAGCATCTAAACCCCCTTTTCTTTAAACAAACATTGCTTCTGGTTGCCTAGGCAGTTTCTGCTTCAGGAGAGGGCCCTGAGCCCTTCTCCAGGCTCCCTTTCATGTGACCAAGGTCAGAGTAGGTGACTCTGCTCCACTACACAAGTCCGGCTATACTTTTGACTTCATGAAATTGCAAAGGCTTACGATGTGTCACACACTCGTGAGTTTATGAGAGACCCCACATAAAGATGGACATGGAGGGGACCTCCCAGACCAGCAGGCCACTGGGTCCCCTTTGGTCCATTCTGGACCAGCTGGGGACTGAAAATCAGCTAAGGAGGAGTGGCCCCATTAGAAACTGCACCCGAGGCTCAGGGACTGACTTCTATTTCAAGATGACCTGGGGCAACCCCTCCATCTGACAGTTAAGGAAAGAACGCACACACTGCCAAGGACCACCCTTCTCTGTGCTAGTCACAGGTGGCTTGCCCGACTGCAGTGATAGTGAAACCTTTAGAGCTTTCATGATGATCAACAGCCCACTGCCCTCCTGCACGCACTTTGCTCTGTGTGCACGCCTGCAAATCCCAGCTCACGTGCACTGAAGCCTGTAAGAAGCATGCGTCCTGCACTCGAGTGCTGGGAACTGTACTCTGCACAGCAATTACCTGCAAGTTACTGGTTGCAGCTCCTCTAGTGTTCTCGCTTCACAGATGCGGAAACATGCAGAGAAAGCGGCCCCCCACCCAAGTAGGTGCCAGTGGAGTCCAGGGCCCCTGACGAAACCAACTCCCAGGTTCACACCATGGGCAACTGGAAACAAGGACATTCCAGAATATATGTAGAACTGGAACCACAGCTAGGCTGGGCCACCTGAAGCCTGCTCCAGGTCTCCAGCTCTGCACATGGAAATACCAGAGCCCATTCCCAATCTCCTCATGAGGCAAGACTGAGCTTCTCAGCCCAGCGGCCACACTGGGGTTACAAGTAGGGTCATTTTCTCATCGTGGAGTGCAACAAAAAAACCCAGGTCCCTGAGCCACCACGTGAGCCTTGGACCAATGAACTCTGATGTCACTCAATAAACGATCTTGTCAAGTCACTGCTGGTTAATCTCTTTTCCAAATATACAGCCAGATACCTTACGGACCCATGGACAACTTTCAGGACTAACAAAGAATTCAAAGCAAAGGCAATCTGCTGCTGAAGGCCACTCCAGGATTTGGGGAGGGAGAGAAACTATCCTTAGGGTGCCATCCTTCCTGAGACCAGCTATACTGAATGGAGAGTTGCAGCATACCAAGCCCCTCTCCATTGTGACTCCTCCTTACAGCCCTAATGGGGGAGGTGATGGCCGCTATTAAGTGGCAGAGCAGCTTTCAGGGAAGGGCTCTGGCTCTCGCCCCCTCATATCCATGTGCTGCTTCTCCCCAGTGCACACCGTCACAATTGCTATGTTAGTGGCAAAACATTTTCACTGGGAATCTCTGGCCAGAAATTCTCCCCTCTTAGGGACTTTTAGGCTCCCAGTACAGAATCAGCAGTAGCAAACACTGTCATCGCTCTTAGAGAACCTAACATCTGGGAGATAAGCATTGCACATCTGGTTGTTTTATGGTTCCCAGGTCCCCAAGGCCCCAGCAAGCACTATACCTTCCTCTCTAGGAACTGACTGAACTCAAGCAGGAGCACAGAGCGCTCTAGAGCTGGGCTTTTGTTGGTCTGAGACCTGCTGAATGCAAGGCCAGCCTCCACGTGGTCACCGTGCCTCAGTTTCTGCTCTTTTGATGAAGCTCCACTTTACACCCTGGAGGCACTGAGTACGGTCGTGTTCATTTGGAAGGACTACTTCTGTTTCACCAGTGCAGAGGGACTTAGTTAAGGATGCAGGCTGGGACACTGCATAAAATTACTTTGTTACCAGGTCAATTCTAAAATAAGGTGATATATTTGACTGCCAGTCTTGTAAATGAATGGTTCTAGATGGCCACCTCATGAAGTCTTTATAATAAAGTTAGCCCCAGATGACATCTAACCATAGCCACGGAGG